TGGGTTAAAATTAGGGACCAGACCAATAAAGGACATCCAGTGGTCTACTAAAGTCCACCCAAACAAGGGTAGCCTGTTGATGAGGCCTTGCTTCTTCTACAAGAAGATAAGCTCTCACCCTGACTGGGGATTTCAACCATGCAGATATTAGGAAAACATCACAAGCTGCAAGCAATCCAAGAGCACCTCTCCTATGAAGACAAGGTGAACAATCTAGTTTCTGGGAAGACATCTTTATGGCCTTCCAGTACATGATGGGATCTTATAATCAGAAGGGGAACAGCTCTAAGCTAAAAAAAAGAGGAGATTCAGGTTAGATGTTTGGAAGAAATTCTTCACTCACATGACAGTGAGGCACTGGCACAGGCTTACCGAGAAGTTGCGGCTGCCCGATCCCTAGACATATTCAAGGCCAAGTAGGATGGTGCCCTGGGAATCCTGATCTGTGGTTGGCAAACTTTCCCTATGGCAGGGGGTTGGAACAAGGTGATTTTTAAGGTCCCTTCCAACCTAAGCCTTTGTGTAACCCAGCAGGCAGCTCAGTGTCACACAGCCGCTCACTAAACCTCACCAAGTGGGAAGAGAAAGAGAATTAGAAATAAAACAGTGAGCTAAGATAAAGACTGTTTACTAAGACAGAAGAGGAAAACAGAAACAAAAATGCAATGATAACAAAATGTATAGCTACCAATGCAATTAATCATTACCTGCTGGCTGATGCACAGCACCAATGCAACACAAGTTTCCACCCTACTGACCAAAGCCCAGCACACACAGTCACACCTCCAGCTAGTACTACACAGCTTTATGGCCTCCCACATGTGGTGTCACATGGTATGGAATGATTCTTGGCCTAATTATGGCCACCTTTCCTGACTCCATCCCACCTCACCACCCGCTTCCCCCAAAAACCCCCCTCAGCCACTGCTATGAAAGCCAGTGACTCTTCCCTGTTGAGCGGCTCTGCCCATTCAGCAGCAACCACAAGTGGTGAGACATTAACACTGCTTTGGTGAAACCAGGACAACCATATCATGTGCTCCAAGACATCTCTATGGCACAAATTAAAGCACTGTAAGTGGAAACAATCCAGAAATATGTTTAAAAAGTGCAATCTTCCTCTGCATAAAAATGTATCCTTCAGAATGTTACCCCCTGAGAAGTGATAATACTACCCATTTCCCTATCTTTTTAACCAGTTTACAGTAAACAATTTTATTCTTTATCCCATGGAAAGCCAGCTTATGATCATTTAGAAGAATGAGATCAAAATCTTCTCGAAAATTCAAGTGCACAACATCAGTAAGATCTTCCTTCTTCAGATCTGACACTCAGTCATTCAAATGGGTGGTGCTGTTTCATTGACTCCTTTCATTCCTTCAGTACCAAAGCCAAAATAAGCAACAGATCCAATGATAATGAATAGTTTTGTGATGTTACATATGAGTTGTCCTAGAATTCAGCAAGAATCCATGCTTTTTCCTCTCAGAAGGCCAGAACCCATTCATACCACAATATTTCTTTTTGTAACATAACACAGCTTCAAATAGGATTAGGTAGAGGTACAGAGGTATGTGTGCTGCCATTAATCTCAGTGTTTGGACATCACACCACAGATGACAGAATCCTGACTGTGAAAAGTATTCTTTCTCTAGCTAAATTGCTGAACAGAATGGAAAACCTCCAGACATATTTAAAGTAAATGCACAGAATGTGCCATATCTGTTCAGAAAGTATATATCCTTTGCTGGCAATAGAGAAACAGCACTGGCCAGAAACAATATCACCAGAATTCATAGTTCCTAAGCAGCAAGGTAGGCACAACTTCTGCCTGCAAAGTAAAAGTTTGGAAGTTCTGCATATGAGAAACTAGAAATCAAGACACTTTTCTATTTTTTGCTTCTTTACTGGTTTTATGCATACATGCTAATACATTCCTTGAGCTTTTGTTTTAGCATAGTCCAATAAGACAAACAAACAAAAAACTTTGCAAGAAAAGTAGGTGCATTTTTTATTTAAATTTTTATGAACGTGCTTAATGCTGTACTGACATTTGGTGGGAAGGCCACAGACTAAAGATTAAACCATTCTGGCATTACCAAGTTCTGACAATCTGGGCCAGGCAACACTTAGGAGCTGTGAACACCAACCCGAGCACTTTGGCAGGATATCCTGGGAGCAACCAACAGGTGACATAAAAGAACATCTAGAGTACCATTTTGAGAAAACTTCAGCTTCAGAGCAGGGCAAGGTCTTAGAGAGACACAGCAGAGGACTGGAGCCAGCCCAGGGCTGCCCTGGACTGCACCTGGAGCTTCTATGCGCACAGAGAGGGGGAGGTGACCTGCAAGCTCAGGGCTGGTGTCACTGTAAAACTCAGTATGTGCACAGTGTTTTGTTGCAAAACATATAAGTGCAACAGCTAATTGTAAGAGCAGTGCTTTCTCCCTCTCACATCCCTCATGGAAAATGTAACTGTCACATCAAAACTGTTAGTAAAACTTTGCAAGCCTGCCCTTGGGTCCCATTTCCTCCTCAGGCATGGAACATCCCGAGTTGCTTCCGCGACAGAGCTCTATAGCCCTGCCTCTTGTGCCAGCCTACTACTAATTCACTCTAAGATCTGAATGGTTCACCCCACATCTCTTCCTAGCACTAAGCACCACCAGCGAGGCGTGTTGTACTTTCCTATGCGGGTCCATGCCCACCAAGAACCGCTGCCATCAGTTCTGCTCGCCTCAGCGCGCTCTGAAGGGAGCCGCAAGTCCCCGAGCCATCGCCCCCCGCACACACAGAGCGGGGCTCCCCAGGGCCGGCGGCGGGAGGCGCCCCAAGCCCACCGCATCGCGCCTGCGCAGAGCCGAGCCCAGCCGCGCCCTGCCGCCGCTCACGCAGGCGCCCAACCGTCGCCGTGCGGCCCATCGGCCGGCAGCGTCCCCGCGTGACGGCGGAACCAACGGCCGGCAGAAGCCCACCGCCCTCCCCCTTCGCTGCCCTCCTCTCCCCTCTCCTCCGCGGTCCGCCGCAAAGGAAGAGCCGAGGCTCAGCTCCGGCGGGCAGCCAATCGGAGCTCAGGACGTTCGTCCCGCCCCCGACGCCCCGGCCACTCAGCGCGCTTCGGGGCACGAACGCGCGAGCGGATTGGCTCCGCCGAACGCTGCTGGCCGTCCGCCCACCAAGAGCAAAAAAAACGACGGTAGCACAGAGGCCCAAAAAGCCCGAGGGAAGACGGCGAGCAGGCCGCAGGCCAACCGCGGCCCGATACCCCTACGGGCAGCGCCCGCGAGAGTCCGAGGTGGCCGCCCGCCCCGGGCCTCCGAACGGGGAGGCGAAACAGCCGCGTGCCAGCCGGCCGAGCTTACCGCACGGGGGGAGCCGTCCGCCTCCGCTTGTGGTGATCTTGGTCACAAGTGGCGCGCCGTAGATTCGCCGCGTTACGTCACGACGCAAGGGTAGGGGGGCGGGCGAAGCCCCGCTCACGTGACTCGGCACCGGGGCGGGAGCTTGAGGCGCGGCCGGCGCGAGGGCTGTCGCGTGGCGGTGAGGGCGCGAGGGGGTGCGAGCAACGGCCGCGCGTAGGGGCGGCCCCGCCGTGTTACGCTCCGCGGGGTGTTGGCGCCGGGTTCTGCTGAGCCGCGGGGAGCGGTTTGTGGAGCACGTCCACGTTTTGTTGTCTGGTGAAGAAATCACTCAAACACTTAGTAATTCTTCCCCTTTTAAAGCCAGGTGGTTAGTTAAACACCGAAAGGAAAGCGGCATAACCTAAAGAGCCAGACATCGCAGAACCATAAAATTTGAGTTGAAAGGGATCTTTGAAGGTCATTTTGTCCAATTCTCCTGCAGCGAACGGGAGCACCTACGGCTGCATCAGGTTGCTCACCACACCGTCCAGCCTGACCTTGAGTATCTCCAGGTGTGGGGCATCCACCACCTCTCTAGGCGACCTATGCCAGTGCCTTATCACTCTTACCTTAAAAAAAAAAAAAAAAAAAAAAAAAAAAAAAAAAAAAAAAAAACTTTCTCCTTATGTCCAACATAAATCTCCCCTTGTTCAGTTTGAAACCGATTCTCCTGTCACCGCAGGTCCTGCTGAGGAATCTGTCCCCTTCATATAGCCCCCTGTAGATACTGACCCAGAACCTTCTCCAGGCTGAACAGCCCCAGCTCTCAGCCTGCCTTGACCGTGGAGGTGTTGTGTCACTTGGATCATCTGTGGTAGAAAACAGTTGCTCTTTCCCAGCTGCTTAAGGTTTTTAAAATAAAGGTCTGCCACTTACATTCTGATTACACAGCCTTTTTTTAGTAAATCCTATTTAAGTTAAACGTCATTTAGCATTCTTGAAAGCCAGTGGGTGGTAGCAGTAGAAGAGAGGAGACTTACCTATGTTTGGAGTTTTGCCTATTTCATGCCCTCTACAAAAAAACATTGCCAGGCTTCCTAATTAGGCATAATAACTTTGTTTCATTTAGCCAACATGCCATTGGCTAATTTATTTCCCATACAACTCAGAGATGCTGGCTCTGTGGTATGTTGTAAGGGCCATGAATGGTTTAAGGACAGGCAGTCTCTACAGCCTGAGGGCTGAAACGATGGCAATTGCAGAATCATAGCCTGGCTTGCATTGGAAGAGCCTTCGCAGCCCACCCAGCCCCATCCCCATCTGCTCCATCCAACCTGGCCTTGAGCACATCCAGGGATGGGGCACCACACTTCTCTGGGAAGCTGTGCCGGTGCCTTACTGCCCTCTGAGGAAAGAATTTCTGCTTAACATCTTACCTAATTCTCCCCTTAGTTTAAAATTGTTCCCCCTTGTCTTATCACTATGAGACTGTGTAAAAAGACAGTCTTTCTCCTGTTTACAAATTCCTTTTAAGTATTAGAAGGCTATAATGAGGTCTCCCCAGAGCCTTCACTTCTCTAAGCCAAACAGGACCAGCTCCTTTAGCTTCTCTTCATAGAAGAGATGCTCAAGCCCTCTGAGCATCTTCATGACCCTCAAAAGGAAAGAATGCAAACACAATCTCCCGCTACCACAGATTTTATGCAGTGAAGTTTTGACTGTGATTTCACCAAATGTGGATCAGCACACCTGGAGTACAGGGGGTAAGCCTTACTCTGGGAAAACTATCTGTGTAATCACATTGTCACCCCAGCCAAATGAAATGAATGTGAAAGTCTGTTGAGTTTCATTAGATTAAGTGTAACGCAGAACACTGGTGAGAGAAGGATTTTTTTTTTTTTTTTGTCCAGTACCTAAGGGTTGTAGTGCATATTTTAATTATCCTTTATCTAATAACGAATCTAAAGAGAGGAAAACTCCCTGAGTTTGGTACAGATATATTAGGATATAGATGTATATGTACCTTTACAACAACATTTAAGCACTTTTGTAGACTCTGAAGCCTACAGAGAGACTGTAGGAAGTCACTGGTGATTTAAAAATTGTCTAATTAAGAACAGTTTAACTGATAACAGTATAATTGTTCCTGATTTTTTAAGAATGGAAAAACAACAAAGCAACGTTTTTATGTCCTCCAGGTTTAGTTTCTCTGCATTTCACACGTTTCTTTTATATTTCTAGAAATTTCTGAAGATCTGCATCTCAAGTAACATCTGTACTTAAATGTAGTACCCAGGACAGTATCAAGTATAGCCTGAAGAGGGAGCCGTTAGTATTGTAAAAGCAGCAATAAGTGCGGAGCACCTACTAATTAAAGGAAAACTAAATCTGTAACTATAAATAAATAAATAAATAAGTTTATATTAAGTGTTTACAGACATGCCTACATTTAACACTTTGATTTAGATACATACATAATTAAAGTCCTGCTGCAAATTAAAATGCCTGTTCTTTATTCTGAAATGTTTATACGGGTTAAAATATATCAAAATACAAACTAAATAAATATGCTAATGGTTAAGTAGTTAATATTTCATTTTTAAATGAAGTGTGAGCATAGAATGTATTTAATTTCTAAGAAAAAGTGACGTTAGGAATGATTCTGTAGTTGCTGTATTCCTTCAACATCAAAATAGCTATTTCACTAGAAATGCTGCTTATTTAGAGTAGTACTGGAGTTTACCTAGCTGTGTAACCTAAGCAGGAAAGGTAGACAGAATTATAATTTTCTGTGCTCATTCACATACAAGGAACAGAAAGCTTTATCTCATTTAGGATGAGAAATGCAGTCACAATAATCATACTTAACAAGTTTGAGTTAGGGGTTTTCTTGCATATCACATCCAGTTAAGGAAACACCTGTGACTATGGAATTTGACCATAGCCATGTGAGTAACATCTTGGACAGGCCCTCCTAAAAGTGCTGAATGGTGTTCACAGGATGGCCAAATAGTCTGCAGCAGTGATCATAAGGGATTGACAACCATCAGTAGAATGCCCAGAGTAGCAAGTTATTGAAGAAAGTCTGCATACAGTGTTATACTGTCTATGCAATCACAGTCATAAGGAAAAAAAAAAAAAAAAAAAAAACACAGAAAAAACAAACCAGAATAATTACAATGTAAACAACAGGAACTCTTTGTCACTTATGTATGCATTTATATGTGTATATATATACAGACACATACACACACACGCACATGTACCTTCCCCTCTTTTTAAATTCAAAATGCTTTTCCCACAGGAAAAAACAACCCTCGAGAAGCCTTATCAAGTGGTGACTTTTCTCTCATTTGCAAAGCAAGACTAAAAGAACTGCTGTGGGGCTGCCCCTGCAGACCTCACGCTGAACCAGCCTTGCACTTCATTCCTTGCCGCTGCCTGTGGGAAGAAGCCTGAGCCTGCAGCCCTGTGCTCAGCCTGGTGCTGAGATGCACCATCCACCTTGTCACGGCCATGCCAGCACTGCATGCAGAGGAGACCAGGCTGCGCTTTGCTGTGGCATTCCAGCCAGGTCATGGTGCCTGTTGGACCCGTGCTTTCACTACAGGCTGTGCCTTCTTATCCACATCACTAATCCGTAGGTTTTACAGTACAAATGTGCCAGTTAACTCATTTCAAGTACCCATAGTTACTCATTTTCATGTGAACAAAATGCTCAGCTGCTTTATACTCTCAGTCAGACTTCTGTTTTAACGTAGAGAAACTGATGTAAACAAAATGTAACACAAACCATCTTCTTTCTCCACCTTTTTCCTGTTATTAGAACTGCAATATAGATGGGTACAGAGAAAAGCAAGACAGCATGTACACAGGCTTTAATTATTGATCAGAAGTTACCTATCTGAAGTTCCTATAATTTCATACAATCTAGCACAAGGAAAAATTTGAGCAGCTTCAAGAATGCTTTTACAATGAAAAATCCTATTTATGGCAGTTTGACAAGTTCTCATGTTGCAATTATTGCAATTTGAAATGAAAAAATCCCAAGTGGATAATTTCTCTTAAGTGTTGTCCTCCCCTCACCATCTTAAAGCAAATACCTAGGTTCTCAAATTCTAATGGAAGAGTGTAACTGTACCTACAAATCCTTTCCTGTAGCCCATGAGTAGCACTGTCAGGCCTCATGCTGCAAGGAATGTCACAGGCTTCCTATTCAGCTCCTGAAGAAATGAAAAGAAAAAAAAAAATTACAAATATGACGCATAAAAATAAACACAAATAAATAGTCGTAGAAAATAATTCTGTATAAGCACAGACAAAACACTTTGTACACACACTACAAGGCTCCCAAATGTTTATCTGTTAAGGAACATGACCATTTTGTCATTGCTGACAAAGATGCACCTTGTGCAGTGTGCACTTTGAAGCCTGAGCAAAGTTTTGTTGTTCTTTCCTTCTTCCAAGGGTAATGTTTTGTAGCAAATAGAATCCAAATTCAAGGCCTAGTTAAATTTTAGCAAGCACTTTTACACAACTACTTAGGTCCGCAAAGTACAGTTGCTGCTCCTGCATTGAGGAAGAAGTGAAAATGACAAGTTCCTCACAAGGAACCTCAGAGGAATTAGGTTATAAAATGCAAGCATATTTTCAGAAAGTATTTGCATGTTTTAAAAGCCAGCAAGGGTAGATGAAATTACCAGGAACCACCTAATCACCCATCACAAACAACTCGTTCTACAGCTGAATCTGCTGGGAGGTTCTCCTGGACTGCTGTCTCAGGCAGGCTGGGAAGGCACTGCTACCTTCAGTAGATAATTGACATGCCTTGCTAGAAATCAGTGAAAATATCCAGGTGACTTCTCAGCACTTTGAAAAAGAACATTCAGGCCCATACATCAACAGAAAAAAAATCTGTGGAAAAAAAAATAAACAAACTGGTAGATGACAATGCCTTCATTGTTAGCAAACCAGTTTGAATTTCCCGTCCTATTTTTTCTGTTACTTAATAATTTAATGTATCAATATCCCACGTGGTAAAATTATTAATATTTAAGCTTTGAGAAGTGTGGCTGAGAAGCTTATCATAGCTAAATATTAACTATAAATAAATTCTTTCCAGCCAAAAGACAGCAGCCTGTGACTGCTCTCACCCTGGGAGCTCCTGCAGGCCCCACCAAGCCACCTCCCACACTGCCAATGGTTGCTGCTTCACACAGATGTGGCACTTCGCAAGCCCCTTCAGGGGTACTCCCCTCCCGGGGATTGATAACTGGCCTTCTTAATGCTGGGATGTTGCATTTCCTCACCTCTTTCTTTTTTCTGAAACAAAATATAGGTCCTGTTATTGCTGGGCAGAGGACAAGGGAGCAGAGGGCAGATGCCATCTGAATGTGCTCTCACTTGATCAGAGTTGATGAAGCTTCTTTATAACCTGTCCTTGGTTGTACTTGTGTTATTACACACTCAAAGTCCCTGTATTTTCCAACAATGGAAAAGCATTTGCTATACATTTAACAAAATGACTCCCAATTCCCTAAGTTCCATGTACAAGTTTTGCCAATGTAGACACCCTAGCAATGAGCAAAGTGAAGATGAGACAAGGAGACCATGATGAGAACATCGTGCTCACAACTTTTCCATGAATCAGTGTTTTGCCCACATGTAGAAGCTTACAGCAGGAACCAGGGGATTCTGGATCCTCACTTGCGCTGGCCACTTTGGCATGGGTTCCTATGTCACCAATATAGGGACAGTTGCACAACCTTCTCTGTCCAAACATGGACAATGACCATCCTTAACTAGCAAGGCATTTTCCAAACAAGCTAAATGCCCTATTCTGAGAGGAATGACTAGCGGGAGTCAAAGGCAAGCTTCTTGGGAGTAAAGTTGCTGAAAAAAAAATAAGGTGGCTCATGTCGTTATGTTTAATCTTCCCCTTTCAAGGCAGATGGCGACCTGATTAGTTCTGCACCTCAGGAGTCTGCTCATCTTCCTGTGCCTTTAGCTCCTGCTGTCAGCAGCCTATAATTTCACTCATTCTCTGTGATTTTAGCTGACTGTGACATTTTTTACTCTTGCCTTTTGAGACAAAATGTGTTTGCCTGAGATAAAAAGAAAAAAGAAAAAAAAAAAACAACCTTCCACACCTAACTTGAAATTAATCCCACTAATTTAAAATGAATATTAGATGGTCCAATTTATTCTTTTAAAGTAATAAGCAGTAGGGAACAGAATCACACTCCTGACTACTTGGTTCCCTCAAACACATCTTACCTGCACCTTCCTTCTAGGAGGGAAGCCTTGGCACAACACACCAGGGAGACAAGCAGACCTCGACCATCCACGTAAGTACCTGGTGTCTCCAAAGGTGCTCCAGGGTGCCACTCTCTTGGCCATGTTCACACTGGGTTTTGATTTGTGCAACTCTCAGGTACCACAGGATGTCCCCAATTACATTAGGCAACCAATCAAGTTGGCCTGCCCTCTGCTCAGTGCTATAATAATGGTGGCTCTTCCCTAAGGAGTGGCCCTGGGCATGCACCTATTGCCCAGCAACAGCCAAACTATCAGAGTGCTATTAATGCTGAAACCAGGTCATGGGAAGGGTGGTTCTGTGCAGTGCCAACTGAAGCGATGGCAAATAATCGTATGCATTTTTATGTATTGGCTAAACAGCAAAGAACATGCAGCTGTACTTTCACTTTTGATAAAGGAATTTGAAAATAGGTTTCAGCCTGTCCCTGTCAGCAAGGTTCTCCAGCCTTCTCATCATTTTCATGGGAAATGCCTCTGCCTCTGGACCTGCTCCAATCAGCTCAGTAT